GATGGAAAAACTGGCCAGACTGATCAAGAAAATAAATTTAGGAGGAGCTAATTAAGAAACATACACAACAGCAATAATAACTATAATAAAAGAAACAACAGCATATACAACAGAAAAGAAAAAATGTTATTAACAAAAATATGCTAATAACTTTTTGTTTACCTAGTCGTAGATTATTGAAATTACATAGGAAAATTGAAAAATACCCAAATTAGCCTGAGAAAAATATTAGGAAAGTTGGATAAGATGATAATCATTAAAGATACGAAATGGTTATCAAATCACATCAAAAGATGATTATCTAATTTTTAAGGAAGTGATAATCCATATTTTATCAGTATACAATGTAGTTGATTTTCCTGTCCCTTTACCAGTTCCTCTTTCCTCTCTGTCTCCCCCTTCCCTTCATCAACATCATATCTGTTCACTTGTCTTAAAAAGTTCAAGGAATTGTTGTGATTGTTATGCCTTCTTCCCCCCCATGTTTGTTTGTGTGTTTATTAATTTATTTTTAGCTCCCACAAATAAGTGAGAACATGTGGTATTTCTCTTTCTGTGCCTGACTTGTTTCACTTAACATAATTTTCTCTAAGTCCATCCATGTTGTTGCGAATGGTACTATTTCATTCTTCTTTATAGCAGAGTAGTATTCCATTGTGTAGATATATCACAGTTTCCTTATCCACTCATCTGATGATGGACATTTGGGCTGGTTCCAACTCTTGGCTATTGTAAATAGTGCAGCAATGAACATTGGAGTACAGGTATCCCTTCGGCATGATGATTTCCATTCCTCTGGGTGTATTCTCAGCAGTGGAATAGCTGGGTCATATGGTAGATCTATCTGTAATTGTCTGAGGAACCTGCATACCATTTTCCAAAAAGGCTGCACCATCTTGCAGTCGCACCAACAGTGTATGATAGTTTCTTTTTCTCCACAACCTCTCCAGCACTTACCTTTCTCAGTCTTTTGAATATTAGCCATGCTGATTGGAGTGAGATGGTATCTCAAAGTGGTCCTGATTTGTATTTCCTAGATGCTGAGTGATGTTGAGCATTTTTTCAT